TAAAATTCTTGTGGTTATCAGAAAATACAAATGAAGACTACAAAATAAAGCATATGACACGTTTGCCGTTTGGTTGTAAGGCATCGCCATTCATTTTAAGTGGCAACAATAAAAAAGCAGCTTAAAGCAGTACAGGAATAATAAACTCGAATGTGTTGAAATGTTGAACTCTTCACTGTATGACGATTTATATTCTGGGGGAAATAGTGTTGAAGAGGTATTTAAGCTTATCTTCTGAAGCTGTATTGATTATTAAAGGATGCAAGTATGATTTTGCGAAAATTAAAAATTAATTATGAGAAACTTAAGGTCATTGTGGATGCAGAATGGACTTATTGCAAGGATACTTGTACTTCTGATTGTCAGTTGAAGGTTTTAGGCTTGAACTGGAACCCAGTAAATGATAAATTTTCTATAGATATAGCAAGATTAATGGATAATTTAAAGAGTTTGAAGAGCACAAAGCGTTATGTCTTGCATATTGCAGCAATGATTTTTGATCCAATTGGTTTTGCAGCTCCATTTATAGTTAGGATTAAGTGTTTGCTACAGGAAATTGGGGAACGTGGTATTGGTTGGGATGAGAAATTGCCAGATGACCTTAAAATCAAGTGGATTAGCTGGTGGGTCTGAGGTTAAATATCTGAAGGATATTTCAGTTTGGAGAAATTTATTTGTGTGTTGTGATAACTTAAATTCAAAAATGGAAATACACTTATTTTGTGATGCGTCTCCTATAGCTTATGGTGCTGTAGCGTATTGTCATTACTTAAACGATAAGGGTGACATTTTCGTGTCGTTTGTCATGTCGAAAAGCAGAGTAGCTCCTTTGAAGAAATTGACGTTGCCACGATTGGAACTAATGGCAGCAGTCATAGGAGCTAGAATAGAAAAGTATCTGGGAGAGGTTTTTAAGGATCTTATTGATAAATTTGTGTATTGGACTGATTTCTTAATTGTCTTGTTTTGGATAAAGGGTTCTGCGAAACAATGGAAACAGTTTGTCGGTAATAGAGTGGTTGAAGTGCAGGAAAAATCAGATCCCAGGTCTTGGAATCATTGCAGTGGAAGGGAAAATCCTGCTGATTTAGTTAGTAGGAGTGTGCCAGCTCAATGTTTGTTGGAAGGTGATCGTTGATGGTGTGGTCCATATTGGCTAGAAAGAAAAGATAGTTTTTTTTCCTCAGCATCCACTGAAGGATATCCCACTGGAAGTATTAGAACCTGAGAGAAAGGGTTGCGTTGTGCATACTACTGTGATTAAGAATTTTGTGATTGATGAACTGCTTCATAAATATTCTTTTTGGACAAAACTTTTGCAAGTTATAGCTTGGTGTCTCAGATTTATTGCCAATGTGAAACGATCATCAATAACAAGGACAAAATAAAATTTTCTCCAGACTGGAGAGCTAGCCGTAGCACATTCTTGGGTAATCAAGTCTGTGCAAATGCAAGAATTTAGTGAAGAAATCGATCATTTGAAAAGGAGAAAACTGGTGAGTCCTCTCAGTAAACTCAATATGTTGAATCCATTCTTAGACAATGAGGGTATACTAAGAGTGGGAGGACGACTAAGAAATGCTAGCATCTAACAGAATGTAAAATATCCAGTCATTCTGCCTAAATCACACTATATTACAGAACTGATAATACGATATTATCACTATAAATATCTTCACGGAGGAGCACAAATGCTCCATTCAGAAATCAAGCAGAGGTACTGGATTATTAATGCACGAGCAGCTATTCGAAAGATCATTCGTAAATGTGTAACATGCTGTCGACATAGACGTGAGCTGTCATATCAAGCAATGGGCGATCTTCCAGCATCCAGAGTGAATCCCGCAAGAGCTTTTTCGAAATGTGGTGTGGATTTTTCGGGTCCTTTCCAAGTTAAACCAAGTAAAGGGTGCGGTGTTCGGACAGTGAAGATCTACGTTTGTGTTTTCGTATGTTTTAATACTAAGGCAGTGCATTTAGAACAAGTTAGAGACATGATGACAGATTCCTTCATAGCAGCTCTAAAACAGTTCATTCCTAGATGTGGAAGAGCAGACGAAATGTATAGTGATTGCGGCACTAATTTTATAGGTGCCAACAGACAACTGAAATCATATCGTTCGGACCAAAGGGTAGCTAGATACTTAACAGAGGAAGAAATTAAGTGGAATTTCAATCCGCCTTCTGCGCCGCTTTTTGGTGGACTATGGAAAGCTGCGGTAAAGGCTACGAAATATCATAAATAAGAGCAATTGGTTCTCAAGTTTCTAACTTTGAAGAATTTGCTACTTATCTAGCAGAAGTCGAGGCATATCTGAACTCAAGACCATTAGTAGCGATTTCAAGTGAACCAGATGATTTTTTGTGATTACACTTGTCATTTTTTTAAATAGTAACACCTTAAAGGCTATTCCGGAACCAAATGTGTGCGACGAGACACTAACACTTCGCAATCGTTGGAAACTAGTCAGCAAAATGTCGCAGTTCTCTGGAGGAAATGGTCTAAGGACTATTTGACTCAACTGCAAATACGCACAAAATGGCATTGTGCTTCAGCAAATATTAAAGTAAATGACTTAGTAATTATATAAGTAAATGACAAATATTAAAGTAAATGACTTAGATAACACACCTTCCTTAAAATGGAAACTGGGACGTATCACCGAAATTTACCCAGGTAATGATTACAGGGTTCGTGTTGTAAAAGTAAAAACTGCTGATGGTGAATTCAAGAGACCCATTCACAAACTGTGTGTGTTACCAATAGACAGTTAACTATCGTGGAAAATTTTGAACTTTAACTTGATATTCATCGATATTCATTTGAATTCTTGACGTTTTATTGTTATTATGCTATTACTTACTTATTTATGTTATTAATTTTGTGTAATTCATTGTTTATACTTATATGTTAATTTAGGCTTAGTATTACTCATTTATAAGCAAGAACTATTTAATCTAGAAATTATATGTTTACTAAGCATAATGTTAAGTAATAATTTCATGTAATAGGTAGTTTGATGTCCTGAACGGTCATCCGTGGAGAGTATGTTGAGATCTCCTATAGAGGGGGTTGTAGCACTCCACAACTGTGTGAGAAAAGTTTCGATTTGAGTGAGAGTTTTCGTGGGTTTTGAGAATGTAGTGTGAAGAGCTGTGTAACGCGTATTTGTAATATAATGTAATTAAATGTATTTATTTAAAATGTGGAGCAATTTTGAAGGAGCATACTTCACAAAGGAAATGAAGCAAAGAAACTGAAAAAAGGGGAAATCATAGCTGAGAGAGGAAAAGCTATGGCGATGAAATGGATGGATTAAAAAAAAAGTTTCACTACAGTCCACAACTCATAATGCTCAAGTAGAACAAATTACAAAGTAAAAAAAAAAGTCCGTTCAGAGACAAAATAAAAACCCAAACTCACAATAGATTATAATAGTACTAGAAATGGAATAGATTGTATGGATCAAAGTTTTTCAAAATTTGAAATATATATATATAAATAAATAAAAAAAAAAGAGGAGGGGGAAATATGAAAATAATTTTTTTCCATGTTTTTGATATTATGATATGGAACTCGTATGTCACCTACCGTAAGGAAGGAGGAAATAGCACACAGTTAGAGTTCAGACTTGATCTTGTTGACAGCATTGTTGGAAATACCATTCTCAAATAAATTTCAAATGTGGACAACCAGGTTCTGAGCCTAATCCTCTAAGACTGACAGAAAGAGAGGGAAAAAAAGTATAATGCTAATCCAGCTAGTGTCATTTCATGTCTCTAGTGAATAATGAATAGAAGAGGTAAGAACTGTGTTTACTGCTTGTAAATTGCTTAGTTTGTTAATCAACTACAGGCAGGTCAAAAAAATATTTTATGCTTTAATATAAAATATTACAAATAAATTTTTTATGCTTTACTAAATGGCAACAAACTGGCATGTGAAAGTTAAAAAAAAAAAAAAAAATCTTGGATGTCTTTAGAATTTCCAATGAAGTACTAAATGTTGCTATACATTTTTGTGGCAACATCTTTTATTTGTGTTGTCATAATCTTTTTAGGCTTGTTATATTATTTTTTAAATAATATATGATGATAACATTTGGTAGTAGCATCCTTTTATTTGTTTTGCCATGCATTTTTTTAGGTTCGTTATTTTATTTCTTTAAAAGTATTGCATTAAGAGAACAGTTGGTGGCAACATCTTTTTATTTATGTTGCCATTTTTTTTATCTGCCGTATTATTTCTGTAAAAATAATAGTATATGGTGATAACATTTGAAGATTTTGATTTGGACAAAAAAGTAATATTGGATACTAAAAGCACCTTTGGTACTAGAAACCTCTTGATAGATGGGAAGTCACATGCTTTCTGTTTCAAATTATGGCTAATGTATTCAAATGTCCTAGCAATGGCCTTCTGAATGAACAGAAAATTTCCTTCTTTTATGTCTATTTCTGAAAACATTGCTAAATAAACCAAATACCAACCCAATTAATAATTATTTGAGTATTAAAGAATAAGCTGGTTGCTATTAGTTTTTCCTTGGAGTTTGGGGAGGGCGATTGTTTATGAACTAGTGCTATGGATGAATGCTAGCAATAGTTATAACATTATGAATGAAACTTATAGATTGTCTTCATTCATTCAGTCGTTACTTATAGTGCATTAAGGAGAATTAATAATTACAACAGGGCAATCCAATATTATGAGAGATTAATTATAATATATTACTTATTAATAAATATAGTATATTACTTATTAAAAAACTTAATATAACTTAAAAAAACTTAATATATTACTTCTTAAAAAGAACTGCTAAAACATTGCTGTTTATAAGAAATTTATTATTAGGTTAGGCCTTACTCTATATTGCCTGTGCAATTTTATTTTTAAATTGCTAAATTTAACTGGTATCAGTTTACCAATAAATGAAAAATATATGCTATTTTTTCAAAATTTCTTTTTAGTAAATATATTGGTTTTCTTTTTCTCCTAGCTATAGGGTAAAATCAATTGCTGCTGAAATATTTTTCCTTGTGCTGTTCCTGCTTGCAAACATTTTTATAGTGGCCTGTGATAATATGCTTAGGCATACAGAAATGCTATCACGAGTTAAATCAATCGTGAAATTACTTGAAGGTATACAAAATTTACTGTTTTATTCATTCTTTAATATTAACAATTCTTGTAAATTTTTTTTTCTTTGTAAAAGGTTTTGGAGAAGTATGAAACCTGGATTATTTATTAACCATCAATGTACTGTATTTGTTAAATATACTATATGTGTACATTTCATTGTGTAATAAAATGAATTTCTATACTTTAATGATTATATATAAGGACATGAATGAGAATTGCAATTTTCGTTAATGCTTCAGTTTGAAGTCCCCCTTCGCCGGATTAAGAGGGCAGTCTTTTGAATTCTAAATAAAATTCTTTAAGAATAAATAGTCACAAATTAATAAATTTTTCCTCTAAATTCAAATCACTGTATAATTAGAGCATTTGTCTGAAATGTTTTTTGAAGTAACTATCTACATTCAAGTTAAATTAAAATGCAGTTTTCTTAGTTTTGAGTTTTCCCTGCTTTAAGCTATTTAAATTTTTCATTCTCAGTTTAGATTATTGAGTTCTGTTTATTTTATTACTTCTTATACTTATTCTTTTGAAAATAATTTTTCCCAATTTGTAGTCTTATTATACATTTGTATATTTATTTTGTTAGTGTTTTAACTTGTGTAAGCCTCGTACTATATTTTTGGTACACAAGGAGTTAAAGTTTGAGTTAAAAAAAAAAAAAAAAACTTTTTAAATTGTAGGCCAGAAGGCAATTAATGAATTACTTTAACATGTTTTCAGTCGTAGCCAATACTGTACATTAAAAACGATTATATTTTTTTATTAAGCTATTAGAACTCTTTTATAACTAATTAAAATCTTTAATTGTCATTAAATATAAAAAGTAATATTAATTAACGAAAAACTACAAATCATATTCAAATTAAATGATTAGTAACTTAATTCAAATTTAATAAGATATTAAGCAGCATTTACATGCGATATATTAATGTTAAAAAATATTATAAAATAACATTTAATATTGGATTTTGAGTAAAAGTTGCTATAAAACTTTGAATTTAACAATTTTAAATTTATCTTTTTAAATTTGAGTGTTACAATTTTGGAAAACTGAATTTTAATTATCATTTCTTGTTGTCCTTAAGTTGATGAGAAAAAAACTTACAATATAATAAAAAATTCTGTGGTATTCTCTTTCAAAAAAGGGGGAAGGAGGTTAACTTTTACCTGTTATTCATATTAAAGCTACCATTATCTGGTGATTTTAAAAGATGTTATTTGACTGATATTATTGTTATCTTTTTCCTTGATCAATAGTTCTCTTTCATTGCTGAGATTTCTCTGCATCTTTAAATTAAAAACTATATAACTCACATTTAAAAATGTGTTTAAAAATACTCACATTTAAAAACTTCAAAAATGTGTGTCTAAAATTATTAATCACAATTTTTTTTTAATACAGAAAACCAGTACCATTTAAGAGATAAAAATCAATATTTGAATCTGCATACCCCTCAGTCACCCTGTATTTCAGTACAGTGGACATACCGTGATGGCCATCTTCTAAACCTCCCTTGTTCTTTATTGGTTGAAGGTGATGTTATCCTAATGAGGCCTGGACATGCAGCTCCAGGACAATGCATTTCTCTCAACAAGGTTGGTTAATAGGTTTTCCAGCTGGGATTATTTTTGTTCTTTACTATTAGAGAAAACAATATTAAAAAATAAATTGAGTTTTTGAGTGGAAAAATAAGGTTACTTTCAGCATATGATACTTTTATGCTTAAATTAAATATGAACACGTTAGATTTTAAATACTTATGTTCTGCATTTATTAAATATGTGTTTTGAAGTACATTTAACATTTTAGATGCTTTTATATTTATTTTTTATAGTTATTTTTTAATTGTTTATCCTTCATTTAAATTCATAATTCCTCTTTTTTTTTGGATGTTATTACCAAACAGTTAAATGAAAAGTATATGTATTGTGGAAGAAAAATATAGTTTTTGTTTGACATGTTCCCCATCTGAGAACATGTATGTCTGACTTATTCTTTCAGTAATGAATCTATTTGTATTACACATGCATAAATGCATATAACTGTACCATTAAATAATTGTAAATTAGTTTATAATTATTAATTACAGGGGTTGGACAAAAATATGGAAACACCTTTAAAAAAACATGTTTCTTTGCTTAACATGGTGTAGGAAACCCGTTGGCATCCAAAACAGCTTGCAGTCTTCTTGGAATGGATAAATACAGTTCCTGTATGTTTGCCAAGGGAATATTATACCATTCTTCCTGCAAAACGGTGGCAAGATGATGGAAGATAACGATGTTGGCG